ACACCTGCGTCGTGTGTGTTTGCGCCTCTGTGAGCCTCTGTGTGCATGCTGATCAACCATTGTGAGCCTCTGTGAGCCTTTCCTCCACATTCGTTTACTTACCATCCCAAACACCTTGAGTTCAGCCCACCCTGCCATATGGGCTTGTCGCGCTAAATCTTGCTTTGTACTGTGTGTACCATGCTGTACCGTGCTGACAGGAACACCAATCCAAAGCCCTGTCGACCATCCTGACTACCAGCCAGACAGAATCAAGAATCCTCCTAACGGCAAGTGGCACCATACACGGGGCGCTTGTTCCTCATAAGCATAGCAGTTGCCATTGGGGTTGTGCTTGTTTGTTCTGTGGGCCAATGCACCCACCCACAACCGTCAAGACCTCACTGTTCTTATCGCATCCCGACTTCTATCACGTGCAACTCAACTCCAGTCCCACTGCCCCATCTCCATCACAACCTTTGTGAACCATGTTCACATCCCACTGCACTCCCACATCATAATGCTCCTTCTTTGCCTGCATCCGCTCCTCCCAGCCTCCCGCCCTCTCTTCATCCATCCTGCAGGCACCAACTTCCCTTTGAGCCGCCAGGCACTACCATCGTGGGGTTGATTCTGTCTGATCTCCAGGCGCCTAAAAACCTGCTGCTGCTCTTGCTCCTTCTTCCACCGCTGTTGCTGGCCTTCTCACTGCCACATCTTCTGAGGCGCCTCAAGAATCGACCATCCACGCGCTACTTTTTTTCAAAGAGAGCCCTCGCTGCCCAGCAAGCTGCCATGGGTGTGGAGATTACTTGCCAGTGCAGGACTGTTATGCAGGAATAATCTGTACACGTTGATGGGACCATGTGCCATGTGGGAATGAATTTTGTAGCGAGATGAGTCTTTAGATAATGCTTTGGATTTTATTCCTTTGAAGCGTATGCGTTATTGCTTTTTCATTCTGTCTCTGACAAAATAGAACTGAAATCAGAAACGAAGAATGTGGGTACGGCGATGCTACCTTTGCTGCATTGTCAACGTCTCTGCTTTCAAAATATTTCTTTTTTTAGAAAGTGTTTCATTTTCAAGATTTATCATTTATGCATGCGAACCTCCTATGAAAACAAACAAACCATGGTGTCGAGCGACAAGCCAAGCAACACTCAAACAAATATGGTGCTGTGAAGGGCATTGTGATGCCAACCCTTGATTCCATAGTGCAAGAAAAACCCATGTAGCCGCACTTTCTGTTTCCAATTTTCAGTCCTTTCTCGCATGGTCCCATCCTGCGTACACAAACTCCTTGGCAAACTCCTGCACCTTCCAGGCAGCAGCAGCGGCGGCCACAGCCAGCAGAGCAAGCGGCACACGAGCACACGCAGGGCATGGAGGCGGCAGCAGCAGCAGCAGAGCGGAGAGCAACGAGACGGCGGGCAGCAGCAGCTGGAGGCGCTGCAGGTTGGCGAAGGTGGCGGAGCAGGATGTGCAGGGGCGGTGTGCGAGGCCATGCGCTCCAACACCACCTCCTTGGCGCCGGCTGGGGGGGCAGCGGACAACAATCTGAGAAGGCGCGGCGGGTACTCCACGGTCTCCACCTTGGTGCACGGTGGGTAAGGCGGTTGTGGACAGATGGATGACATTGTACAGGTCAGGTTGATGGTGGACAGAAGCATTAACAGGTGAGGCCCAAGACGGGATGGCATACGGCACGACATAGGAGGGATGGCACGAGAGGGAAAACAAAAAAGTAGAAGTTTGAAATATAAAGCTAGCCAAGTATGCTAGTTGGCCCTCAAGTAAGCTCTGGTGTGTTGGTCATTCTCAGCCTCGCTAGCCTTGCGCTCTCGTTGGTTAACCAAAGCACTTGGCTATACTCGTTTCACCAATCGGGACCATCCATGACATCAGAAAGCACAGGCACATATTATCTCCAAGCAAGCACAGCTGGCAAGAAATACCTGAAAAGGATCCTACTTACTACACAACCACCTGGCTCCTCTCATGAAGCAACCACTCGTGTTCGGGACACACCTGCATATTGGAGAGCCATTGCCGGAAGGCAACCACAGGGAGGTCAGCGTTGGGTGGCATGTAAAACGCCCTCCACGCGCTCCCCCTCACAACCCCTTGCGCCCCCCGCTTCACTTTCGCCCACCCTCCGCCGCACCTCCCCCCCTGCTGTGCCCCGCCCTTGCTCGCCCGCGCCTCCTCCATCTGCTGCTCCCTCTCCTGCCAGCACTCGCTCCTGGCAGTGCAGGAAGTAGGAATCGCCTGATGGGCATGGCGCGGGACACACATGGCACCCCGGTGATGTGACAAGAACCGGAAAGAACACCACAATCATAAGGCTATCATCTGTGATCACTGATTCCGTCACCGCATCGTACACCTGGTGCAAGCGGAGGTGCCGCACTCACCATCGTATATCTGGTGCAGGCCGATGTGCCGCCAGCCAGCGCGGCATGGAGGGCAGCTTCTTTGCCGTCGCCGGGCCTGACCAGGTTCACCTGCACGACGATGCTGCTGCCCGGCGCGCTGGGCGTGATGTACAGCAGCAAGCACCAAGCTCGTGTTCGCCGCGGCCTTCCTCTGCAGGAAGGGGAACTTGGGGGGGCGGCGGGCTGGGGGGGAAGGGGAGAAGGGAGGGGGGAGATGGCTTTTGAGTGAGTCGACTAAAAAACACACCAGGTTCACATGCACGACGATGCTGCTGCCCGGTGCGCTGGGCGTGATGTACAGCAGCAGCACCAAGCTCGTGTTTGCCGCGGCCTCCTCTGCAGGAAGGGGAAACTTGGGGGGCGGCGGGCTGGGGGGGAAGGGGAGAAGGGAGGGGGGAGATGGCTTTTGAGTCGACTCAAAAACTGACCAGGTTCACCTGCACGAAGATGCTGCTGCCCGGTGCGCTAGGCGTGATGTACAGCAGCAGCACAAGCTCCGTGTTCGCCGCTGCTGCCCCGGCGGAACCCCACTTAGGAGGCATGACTTTGCGTGGCAGCAGCTTGTTTAGTAAAAATGTTTTTTGTGTTGGTAGGCTTGCTTAGGACCTTTGTAGAAAAAATATTGGTGGTAACTAGTTTCGGCTTTGAGCCTTCTTCAGACCACAAAGGAGAAAAAGAGAAAGCAAGCACCTAAATACCAAAGCCCGAGGCTCCGACGCGAGGCATTCCTTCGCGGGGCTGGGATGGCAGGGAAAATCTAGATAGAAACAATAGAAATGAAATCTACAGTAAGCTAGCACTTATGAGCAGAAATTATATAATTGCCTACTCGTTTAGGTAACCTCCATGCGATGATGTTTCTTCTTGTAGAAAATACTCCGTGTGACATTGTAACGAGATGACTTTTGAGTCGACTCAAAATGTTCCCCAGGTGCGAACGGTCAACCAGCAGGTTGAGCAGAAGTTTCAGCACGAGGGGGCCACGGGTAGAAGAATTGCGCAAAGCGGAGGCACGTTGGAGTAATTCCCCACGGTTGGAGAAAAGCACTGTCTTGAAGATTGGAAGGAGAAACTTCTCAGGATGCCCACGTGCTCGTAAACGAGCAAAGAAAAGTGCGCGGGAGTGTAAGAAGTCAGTGCGTGAAGAGGAGCGTAGCAGGAAACGCTGTAGCTCACTCCGAATGAAACCCAGTTTGGTGGTGCGAGTATGGTAGGATTTAAACGGCAGGTATAAGTACCGGTTCATTGGCTTCTGGTACAGCTTCATGTCGAGTGTTCCAGTAGTAGAGAACCGTTCCCCCTTGAAAACCGTAAGATCCAGAAAGTCCATGGTAACGTCAGAAACCACCCAGGTTAGTCGAATTGAAGGATGTAAAGAATCGAACCGTTGACGAAAGCACGAAAAGTCTTCCTTTGTTCCCTCCCACAGAATGAGACCATTGTCAATAAAGCGAAAGTGGAGAGCGGGAGAAAAACGAAGCGAAGCGTGCAGTTGAATGTCAAGGTAGCTCAGGAAAAGCACCGCGAAGCAAACAGCCACTGAAGTGCCCATCGCAGTGCCTTGAATCTGGCGGAAAAACCGGCCGTTGTAAGAAACGTAGCTGTTGAACATCACCCATCTGAGCAAACGGACGATGACTGGGGCCAATGGATGTCTCTCCTTTTGAAGAAAAAAGGCGACAGCGTCTATCCCGTCCCACAAGGGAATTGACGGGTAGAGCGATTCCACGTCATAAGACGCCAGCAGCATGTTAGGTGAAAATGAAAATGAACATTGCTCGAGATGAAGAATCAGGCTCTGGGAGTCCTTAACATAGGTCGGCTGTTTGAGGACCAACGGGCGTAGGACTGAATCCAGCCAGCGAGAAACGTTAGTAATTATCCAAGAATGGCAAGCCGCGATAGGCCTCCCAACAGGAATTTTCTTATGGATTTTCAGCAGCACGTAGAAAGCTGGAACCTTCCAGCCATTCTTAGGTTGATGAAAGAAAGAATCCCAAATTCTGGATTTAATGACACAGCTCCACTCAGATCGAATAGAATGAAGCTCTTGGAGAATGTTAGTAATGGGAACCGTCGAGTATTCCTTGTAGACCGTGTTATTGAGCAGATGCTTCAGACATTGATCCTGATAGTATTCTCTGCTCATGACAGTTAGTCCAAGGTTTTTTTCCGCCGGCTTGAAAATGAGATTAGGATTGTTAGCAAGTCGTCGCAGCATCGGGAGCACGTTCTTAGACTTCCGTGTGAGTGAAGTGAAAGTTTGTCCAGCAATTTCTTTAACGGCTGCTTCTTTAAACACCTCCAGCGCGGCTTCAATTTCAGGTGAGGCTGGTGGAGGGTTCCAGTTAGTTCTCTTAGGTAGCTTGTACCCTGAGTAACCGAAAGAGTCAGATCCATTAAACAGGTACATGGTACAAACACTTCTAAAGAAATCAGAGATCTCTGCTTCGAAACTGGCGACAGTACAAATTACAGGTACGGGGATGAATTTCAGTCCAAGGCGCAGAAGATTAAGTTCCTGTCGTGTGAAAGAATGATCACTGTAGTTATGGATACCGCGGTTGGTGATCCGACATTGCAGTTGGTACTCGGTTTGTCTTCCGAAGAGCACCAAAGCAAATGAGTGCACATCACCCATTACTGTCGAGTCGTTTTTCTGCGGCCTCCGCCTCCCCCGTTTTTTGTCACAGGTTCCTTGCGGGATGAAAAGGAGGAGGAGCCGTTGCGTCCAGTCGACTTAGAGCCGTTGCGAGCAGCTGTCTTAGAGTAAGAGCGACCCACGGTTTTAACCGCTGATGCTTCTGCTTCGTCAACCTTCTGCTTCATCTTGAGTCTGCTTCCCAGTCTTTTTGCCATTAAGGCCCTTGTCATTGGATTTGCCGTTGGCTTTCGGAGTCGAACGAGACTTCTTGCCTGTGCAGGCGTTTTTCCTGACATGGATACCGGAAATGTTAGACTTAGATTTAGGATTTCCAGAAAAAGCAGCCTTATCCTTGTTGTTGTAGCCGGTCTTTCTCGCAGGTGTCTTAGTCGAAGGCTGCTTCATGAATTTCTGCACCTCTTGACGAGCGATCTCACGGACCGTAGGTTCAACCGGCAGGTTCTCAGCTTCCTCAACAGCAGCCGTTTTCTTAGCGTCAAGCTCCTCCTTCTGTTTCAGGAGGACTTCCGCCATGTTGGTTTCCATGTAGACAATCGAAACGGAATCCTTAAACTCCGTCAGAACGCGTGCCTTGAAAACATCTAGGCTGTCAATGAGTTTTGGGTTCTTTATGCCGAGATCTGACTTCTTGTTCAGGTTGATGAAGTTATCGATGTGATGAATGAGTGACTGATAAACAGCACAGGCGTCGCTGAAGGCCTTATCAGCAGCTTTCTTCTTCATTGAAATGAGAATATTCTGCGTACTCTGGCAATATGCCAATTTAGCGGCTTCCAGGTCCTTATCTGCTTCTTGACGAATATCTTCAGCATGGCAGACGAAGTTGAAGGATTTAATCCGAATAGAATGCGGGATGATACCGCTCTTCTTCTGCTCCTCCATAAAATTGTATTGCTGCAGCAGCGTCCGATACTTCATAAAATGCCTTTTGAAGTCACTGACGGCTTGAGACTTAAGTGTCTTAAAAATGGCTGGTGTAGCCTGCTGATCCAGAAACGATGCGTTAATATCACCGAGAAAATCAAGTGAATCCAGCATGATAGTGTCACGAGTGACAGAGTCCTGGATTCCTTGGACTGCTTCCTGCTCCGGAACCGTCGTGGTAGCATTAGTAGCCATCGTAACGGGAGTAATTCCAGGAGCGTCAATGGACTTTGCGAGAGTAGCACCAGAAGTGTCAAGACCTCTCTTCTTGCAATGTCGAGAAGCAGAAGGAGACTGTGGAAAGTCCCCTTGGCTGACCGGCTTTTTATCCTGGCCGAGCTGCGAAATTCTTCGCGATGCTCTCAATGGCCTTGGGATAGTCGGGACGCGGTCAGCATTGTTCGTAGTAGTGTTTGTAGTAGTGTTTGATGCGTTAAACGTGTAGCCGGCCATCGCAGTAGTATCAACTGACAGTCCAATGGAACCCCACTTAGGAGGCATGACTTTGCGTGGCAACAGCTTGTTTAGTAAAAATGTTTTTTGTGTTGGTAGGCTTGCTTAGGACCTTTGTAGAAAAAAATCTTGGTGGTAACTAGTTTCGGCTTTGAGCCTTCTTCAGACCACAAAGGAGAAAAAGAGAAAGCAAGCACCCTAAATACCAAAGCCCGAGGCTCCAACGCAAGGCATTCCTTCGCGGGGCTGGGATGGCAGGGAAAAGCTAGATAGAAACAGTAGAAATGGAATCTACAGTAAGCTAGCACTTATGAGCAGAAATTAGATAATTGCCTACTCGTTTAGGTAACCTCCATGCGATGATGTTTCTTCTTGTAGAAAATACTCCGTGTGACATTGTAACAAGATGACTTTTGAGTCGACTCAAAATGACTTTTGAGTCGACTCAAAAGTCACCAAGCTCGTGTTTGCTGCTGCTGCCCCAGCCTTCCTCTGCAGGAAGGAGAACTTGGGGGGCGGCGGGCTGGCAGGAGAGGGGGGGAAGGGAGCGGGAGGAGGGTGGAATGGGGAAAGCGAGGAGTAGAAGGGGAGGTGGAAAGTGAGGGTGGGATAAAAGCGGGGGTGGACGGGGAGGAGAGATGTGGGGATGGGGGGTAGGGTGAAAAGGGTGGATGTCATGGTGTTGTGGCGGGGGCGGCACGTCATGGTGTTGTGGTGTTGTGCGGTACCTTACGGTGCTGTGGTAGAAGACGAGTTGGGGCGCCTGGAAGCGGAGGTACGTGGGGAAGCCAAACACGTGGATGGGCCCCTCAAAGCCCTTCACGCCCTGCAGGCGGGCAGTGCAGAGGCAGTAGAGGGCAGGTGAGGGCAGTGCAGGCAGGGCGAGCGCAGTGCAGGCAGGGCGAGCACAAGCACAAACAGTGAAGTGCAAATCTTGTATACGGATGTCTATGTGTGTGCAGCGCAAGTGCATGTGAGTGTGTACGCATCACTGCATGTGCAAGCCTCTCTGCATGTGCAAGTCTCTCTGCATGTGCAAACCTCTCTGCATGTGCAAGTCTCTCTACATGTACAAGTCTCTCTGCATGTGCAAACCTCTCTGCATGTGCAAGTCTCTCTGCATGTGCATGCCTCTCTGCATGTGCAAGTCTCTCTGCATGTGCATGCCTCTCTGCATGTGCATGCCTCTCTGCATGTGCATGCCTCTCTGCATGTGCACGCCTCTCTGCATGTGCATGCCTCTCTGCAAGTGCAAGCCTCTCTGCATGTGCATGCCTCTCTGCATGTGCACGCCTCTCTGCATGTGCATGCCTCTCTGCATGTGCAAGTCTCTCTGCATGTGCATGCCTCTCTGCATGTGCAAGTCTCTCTGCATGTGCAAGCCTCTCTGCATGTGCAAGTCTCTCTGCATGTGCATGCCTCTCTGCATGTGCAAGTCTCTCTGCATGTGCATGCCTCTCTGCATGTGCACGCCTCTCTGCATGTGCACGCCTCTCTGCA